ATTACAGGGAAGCTTCACTGGTCCAAGAAACACTACTCCTATCCTGTCTCTGCAGGTCCCAGAGCTGCAGCCTAACTTTGGCCTTTTAAGGGTCTATCTATTGCCCCATTCACTGGAAGAAGCATCCAGAAAAATGGCATAAGACTGGGGTAAGGTCCCCAGTGCCCTTTAAGACCATGCTGAGGCCTGCACTCTCCTCACTGTATCCTAGTAATGAGCTTTTCCCAAAACAGTTGCCAAGTCACTGGGTGCTGAGTGCCTGGAGGTGCCAAAGCAGCTGGCGGCAGTGCCAGGGAAGGCAGCAAAGCTTGCATCAAGCCCAGGATGCCTGCTCACAGGCTTCCTCTGAGCTGAAGACCCCTGGGCAGATTTTCCAAGGCCTCTAGCCACAATTGCCAAGAGGCCAGTGCACCCAAAGTTCATGGAGTTTGGTCTGTGGCTTCTCTAGCTTAGTCACAGAATCTCTGAAGGCAAATGGGACAGGTACCTGATCATTTAACCCACTAAAAGGCAAGGACACCAAGCCTTAACCCAGGAGGGCCTGGTGACCTGGCAAGGCAATTCAGGACACTATCCCACAGGAGCCATCTTTTTTTTTGGTCTTTGAGCAAATATGTAAAATTGGCAGCATCTACAGCCCATAATGTCCCATGGCAGGGATTTCCTCACTGGCAGCTCACCCTTCCCAGGGCCCCAGGGATGCTTTAAGTGAGGTCCCTGGCAGGACAGCAGGCTTCTAATCTCCTTTAATCCGAGGCTTGAAGCCCATCCCAGAAGAACAAAATGGCCACAGCATGTCCAGGATCTGAAAGTGCACATGGCTGAAAGAAGCACTAGCCTCTCAACAGAAACGGCAGCCTTGTGATGCTGGAATGAGGGTGGCTGGGACACATGGTGGAGCAACACAACATGGGGGAGAATGACACACACTTACTGGAGCTGCTTTCGCTGTCACTGGTGTTGGATGTCACTCCCTCTGCAAGCCAACAAGAAAGAGACTCCGATTCAGAACACACCCCTGACAGGTCACACGTGGCACAACACTCAAATGCTCCAGGATCAAGACACTGAGCCGTCAGCCTAGTCAGGCCACAGGAGACCTGCCACATCCAGGCTACCAACTGGGAGACACAGCTCCAACCCTGAGCCCGGCTACCTCATACTAGTCCACAGAGCCTCTTGGTCTGCCAAGTCCCTCCCTCTACACCACAAGCCCTCCATTCCTTGGCAGCTTCCTCTTCATCTGAATCCAAAGAACTGAAATGGATGGCTTCCAACTCCTATGTCAAAATGTATCTCCCAAGGCTACCAATAGGAAAGGAAAGGCAGTGACAGTAGCAAAGAAAAGTCCAGGGACCAGGCTGCTCTTGAATTTTCCTCCCAGATAGAGGCCCCAAAATACAGAACTGTGTGGTGCTCCTAAATGATAAGGCCAAGCACTGGGCAGGCTGCGCAGTCACCAGGTAACAATGCTTTGACCACTTGGTGGGACCAGCAGCTCTCCTGCCACCACTACCTAGAAGGGAGGGTGTGGCCTCAGCGGTGAGGGGTGCTCCTCCATCCACCCGACAGACGTGGCAAAATACAGACAACAAAGCACACCTGGAGGACAAGACGGCTCTCCTGTCTCAGAGCCTTGAGACCTGC